TATTAAATAAGAACGAACAAATCTGTCTTGGAACAGAACGAATCATTCTGTTGTAGATAGGGTCACTATGAGTTGGCACCGACTTGACGACACCTAACACCTATAGAAAATATTTGTGAAACACCTATCTAATAATGAACTAGTACCCAAAACATGCAAAGAACTCTTAAAAGTCAATAAGAAACATGAAAACCAATTTAAAAGTAGGCAAAAGATCTGAATAGACTCATTAAAACAGATGTACAAATGCAAATAAGCGTATTAAAAGATGCTCAACATCATGTCTTTACAGAATTTCAAAACAGAAATGAGATACCAGTCTACACCTATAAGGATGGCTAACATAAAAAAAAAAATGTTCTAATTGCTTCTGTTTCTTTGAGAATTTCTTTTTTTTCCCCTGTTGCTTGAAGAGAATTTGTAATTGATTGCTAAAATATTTTTATAATGCTTTAAAATCCTTGTCAAGTAATTCCAACATCTGATTACTCTCAGTATTGGTGTTTATTGAATCATATTTTTCTATTCAGATTATAGTTTTCTTGTTTTTTGTATGAGGAGTGATTTCAGTTGTATCCTGGATATTTTGGTTATTATGTTAGTAAACTCTTGATCTTATTTGTTTTCTGTTATAGCAAATTGTTTCCCTGTTTTTGTTTAATGTGTAGGTTTTGGGTTACTTTTGTGGATTTTTTTTTTCCAGTGACAGTTTAGTTTTCAGAGTCCTTGCAGTGGTATTTTAGCCTGCTTCATTTTCTGATGCCACTGGAGTTCCAACTCAGTTCTTGCTTGTGCCAGCTGTGGTGATTGGAAAGTGGTTCTCTGATCTGCCTGATATTCTTGGTCAATTTATGCAGGGGTTGGGATCAGAAACTGCTGGGCCTAGGTCTCCTTATGCCACTGGGTGGTGGACAGAGTGATGCAGGCCTCCTGACTCTTTCTTTGCTGTGGCTCAGATTGTTCGCTGGTGCCCTGTTTATGAAATGGGATCTGGGATGGCCTGGGATGTCACTGCTCTCTGTGGATCAAAATGTCATCCTGGTCTGTAAAACAGGGGCTGGGAAGGTCAGAGACTTCACTACTGCTGGTAGCTTGGACTGCCTGCTATCCTTGATTATGGAGTGGATGGTGACTGTGTTGGTCCAGGGCTTTACTTCTCTGCTGCTGCCTGTCCATTGGACTTGTGAAGCAAGGGCTAGAATGGCCCAGGGATTCACTGCTCTGCCACTGCAAGTGGATTAGAATACCTGCCCGCCTGTTCTGCAGTGCTAGGGTTGAAGTTCCACGCAAGGTCTCTGTTGGGTTTCCCTTCTCTAGATCCTTTGGCCACAGAGTGCAGGCTTTTCGTGTGTGTGTGTGTGTGTGTGTGTGTGTGTGTGTGTGTGCGCGCGTGTGCGCGCATTCCCTCTATGCTATTGGTGGTGGTTCTGGGTTGCAGGCCTCTCTGACCTACGAGAGGGTATATGGGAGAATAAAAGAAAACCCATGGGACTCATCACATTTTAATTCTTTAAGTCTGAGGTTCCTAACCTGTCTGCCTTCTTCCTTCTAGGGAACAGAGTTGTATTTAGAGGGGAGGAGAAGAGGAAAATGAGTCTATGCCATCTTGTTACAGAACCACAAGCTCTCTTGGTTTCATTTAAATTTTTAATCTTAGCTTTTTAAGAGTATGAATCAGTGTGAATACTATCCAACTAGTCTATATTTCTTTGATGTTTGATGGTTAAGGCTGTTGTTACATTGTTAGGTAACGTTGAGTTGTTATCAGTTCGTAGTGACCCTGTGTGCAACAGAACGAAACACTGTCCAGTCCTGCAGCATCGTCACAGTCATTGTTATGCTTGAGCCCATTGTTGCAGCCACTATGTCAATCCATCTGGCTAAGTGTCTTCCTCTTTTTTTGCTGACCCTCTACTTTACCCAGCATGATATCCTTCTCGAGGGATTGGTCCTTCCTGATAACATGTCCAAAGTATGTGAGACTAGGTCTTGCCATCCTTGCTTCTAAGGAGCCCTCTGGCTGTATTTCCAAGACAAATTTGTTTGTTTTTCTGGCAGTCCATGGTATATTCAATGTTCTTTGCTAACACCATAACTCATATACATCAGTTCTTCTTTGATCTTACTTATTCATTGTCCAGCTTTTACAAGTATATGAGGTGATTGAAAATACCATGGCTTGGGTCAGATGCACCTTAGTCCTCAAGGTGGTATCTTAGCTTTTTAACATTTTAAAGAGGTCTTTTGCAGCAGATTTGCCCGATGTAATAGGTCATTTGGTTTCTTAACTGCTGCTTTCATCGACAATGATTGTGGATCCAGTAAAATGAAATCCTTGACAACTTAGTATTTTCTCCGTTTATCATGTTGCTGCTTATAGGTCCAGTTGTGAGGACTTCTGTTTTCTTTATGTTGAGGTGTAATCTATACTGAAGGCTGTGGTCTTTGATCTTCATCAGTAAGTGCTTCAAGTCCTCTTCACCTTCAGCAAGCAAGGTTGCATCATCTACGTATCACAAGTTGTTAATCAGTCTTCTTCCAGTCCTGTTGCTGCATTCTTCTTCATATAGTCCAACTTCTTGGATTATTTGCTGAACATATAAATTATGTAAGTACAGTGAAAGGAGACAACTCTGATGCACACTTTTCCTGACTTTAAACCACGCAGTATCCCCTTGTTCTGTTTGAACAACTGTCTCTTGGTTTATGTACAGGTTCCTCATAGGCACAATTAAGTGCTCCGGAATTCCCATTCTTCAGTTTTATTGACTGGTCTTCCTTGTAGGCATATGAGTATTATCCTATCATTGACAGCATTGTACTTCAGGATGGATCTTGAAATGTTCTTTTTGGTGATGAATGCAACGCCATTCCTCTTCAGTTTGTCATTTCTGGCATAGTAGACCATCTGATTTCCAAATCAAAATGGCCACTAACCAGTCCATTTTAGCTCACTAATGGTTAGGATATTGATGTTTATGTGTTCTATTTCTTTTTTGACAGTTTTCAATTTTCCTAGATGTTCCATGTTCTGATTATTAATGGATGTTTGCAGCTGTTTCTTCTCATTTTGAGTTGTGTCACGTCAGCAAACGATGATCCCGAAAGCTTGACTCCATCCACGTCATTAAGGTCTACTCTACTTTGAGGAGGCAGCTCTTCCCTAGTTGTCTTTTGAGTGCCTTCCAACCTGAGGGGCTCATCTTCTGGTGTTATATCAGACAGTGTTCTGCTGCTATTCATAAGGTTTTCACTGGCTAATTTTTTTCAGAAGTAGACCAGCAGGTCTGTCTTTATAGTCTGTCTTAGTTGGAAAGCTCTTAGTTGGAAAGCTCCGATGAAACCTGTTCACCATGGGTGACCCTTCTGGTATTTAAATACTGGTGGCATAGTTTCCAGCATCACAGTAACACCCAAGCCCCCACAATACGACAAACTGACAGACACATGGTCTTCCTTGTAGGTATATGGATATTATGCTATCTTTAACAGCATTGTATTTTAGGATGGATATTGAAATGTTCTCTGATGATGAATGTGGTGCCATTCCTCTTCAATTTGTCATTCTTGGGATAGATGACCGTATGATTGTCAGTTTCAAAATGGTCAGTACCAGTCCGTTTCAGCTCACTAATGCCTAGGATGTCTGTCTTCAAGCAGTCTGTTTCATTTTTGACAACTTCCAATTTTACTTGATTGGTACTTTGTAAATTCCATGTTCTGATTATTAATGGATGTTTGCAGCTGTTTCTTCTCATTTTGAGTCTTGCCATATCAGCAGCTGAAGGTTCCGAAAGCTCTACTCCATCAGTGTTATTAAGGTTGACTCTACTTTGAGGAGGCAGCTCTTCCCAGTCATATTTTGTGTGCCTTCCAACTGAGTAGCTCGTCTTTTGGCACTATATCAGATGGTGTTCTGCTGCTATTCATAAGGTTTTCACTGGCCAGTTTTTTCAAACGTAGATTGCCAGGTCCTTCTTCCTAGTCTCTTAGTCTGGAAGCTCTGACAAAACCTGTCCACCATGGGTGACCCTGCTGGTATTTGAAAAGCCAGTGGCATTTCTTCTAGTATCAAAGTAACATGCAAGTCACCACAGTGTCATAGAGTGACAGACAGGTGGTGGATGTCCAAAGTAAGTGAGACAGAGTCTCACCATTCTCACTTCTAAGGATCATTCTGGGTGTTCTTCTAAGATGGATGAATCATTACCTGATCCTGTGCAATCTTCACAGTCATTAGTATGCTTGAGTCCATTGTTACAGCCACTGTGGTTTTTTTTTTTTTTTGCCACTGTGTATTTTGAGTGCCTTCCAACCTAGGGAGCTCATCTTGTACCACTATGCCAGACAGTATTCTTTTGTGATCCGTAGAAAATTTATTGGTTAATGTTCGGAAGTAGGTCACCAGGCCTTTCCTCCTAATCTATCTTAGTCTGGAAGCTCTGCTAGAACCTGTCCACCATGGGTGACCCTGCTGGTATTTGAAATGCCAGTGCATAGCTTCTAGCATCACAGCAGTAAGCGAGCTACCATAGTACGAAAAACTGACAGATGAGTGGTGGATATATTATCTTTATATACCTGTCTGTGATGTCTGTGTATGTATGCGCATGTATAAATACGTGCTAGCTTACTAACTCTTAGCCTAAAGAAAGAGCCTCGTAGTTTCTATAGGTCACTTCGTTACTTTAGCTGCGTATATATTTATTCAAATCTCAAGACTTTATCATTAAACTTGTGCATTTTCTGTTTGAAGATTTTTGTCATTTCAAAACTCTAGATAGCATGGACCAAATACGTGCTTCATTTCATTAGTTTCATAAATTAGAATTTTCAAAGTACTTATGTATTTTAATTATAAATCTTTGATTCTAACCTTAATGCCCTATGAGTCATCTAAAGGTTACTTTTAATTATTGTTACATTTTAAAAAAGCAGATTTGATTCTAATGTTGTTATTATTTTTAATTGACAACTGTCTTTATATAATTTTATTCTAGTTCAGGCCCATGAAGTTTATCAGAAAATTCTGGCAACTGATGTTGGTTCTGAAAATACAGCTCACTTGAAAAATGTGTCAAGTAGAAAACAAAATGACCATCACAATGAAGCTGATGAGGAATTTTACTTATCTGTTGGCTCATCTTCTGTTGTTTTGGATTCAAAGACATCTTTATCGCAAAATGCTGTTCCATCTATTGCCCAAAAGAGAGAGACTTATACTTCTGAAAATTCACTAAATATGCTGTCTTCAAATACAGAGAGTTCTTGTAAAACCAAAAAAAGGTAACCTTGTATTTAAATAATATTAATCCTATTTTAAAATTTTAATCTTTTATACTAAAGAGTGGGTAATTCAGGCTTTTAATGTAGGTTCATAGTAAGAATTAAGGAATATTAAGATGTTATGAGAAGATTGTAGTATACATTCAGTATATATTCAGTTCATAAGGCCTTAAAGAGTACTTTAGAGAAGTTTGGAGGTAAAATTTTCTATAGACTATGAAAAAATGTGTTTTCTTTCTGATGAAAAGCTTATAACTTGGCTAAGAGCAATAATTTGTACTTCCTGTATGTTATTTGTAATTGCACAGGTAGGTGTGTATCAGGTCATTTCTTGAATAGCAAAGCTTAAGTATTATTGAGGATGAGTTGTGGTAAACTATTAAATCCAAGTCCGTTTCTTAGAGTTTTCCCTTTGAACCTACAGGAAACAGTAGATCTTTCAAGATCATCCTTTACTATTGGGAACTTTGCTGAAATGAGTATAATTTCTATACAGAGTCTTATATGATTCTGGAGATATTAAGCATATTCTATGACTTTGCTGTTCAAAGTGGAGTCTGCTGCTGAGGATTAAGAGCAATGGTGTTATCTGGGACTTAATAGATATGCAGAATCTCGAACCTTACCCTAGACATACTGAATCAATCTACATTGAATAAGGTCCCTAGGTGTTTGAAATTCACATTAAATGTTTGAGAACTAGTGCTCTGTGCTACAGATTTACTTGGGAGTATAATTTAACTTTTCTGTTTTATTTTTTTCTATTGATAAATTCATACTATTTTTTCCTAAGCATTTTCCTTGCGTATTTTGTGTAAGAGTTTACAAATTGGTAAATTATGTAACTGGTCTCGACATTATTACTACAAGGGAGTTTAGGAAGACTCAGAACTCAGCAAACTTTGTAAAGGCATTCAACTTGACTTCCTTTTAACCTTTTAATATATAGGTTAAACTTTGAAGATATTTTGAAGAAAGTAGAAATAGAGGATAAAGTATTAGAAGGACCACAAGGGAGGAAACCCTCAGGAAGATCTCAGAAAAGAACACAAGATTCAGGATATGAAATTCAACCACAAGCTAAAAAGAGTTTTTCAGTATTGTTTTTAGAAACTGTAAAAAGGAAAACTGAATCTAGGTAAGTTATTAAGAAACTGTCCTTTGAGACCTTTTTCTTTCAAAGTCTGTGAACAGTGTCTAAGGATTCTTAATACTACTGTTTAACTTAGACATTAATCTTTTAATGGACCACAAAAAAAAAACAGTTGAGTTGGTGGTGAAATTTTGCCAGATAAGTAAGGAGTGTGTAGTTTCTTGCCAGTGACTCATGCCAAAAGTTATCCTTTAACAGCTACTAGGAGTCCCTGGGAAGTGCAAACGGTTAATGCACTTGGTTGCTAAGTGAAAAGTTGGAGTTCACCTAAAGGAACCTTGGAAGAAAAACCCGCCAATCTAAAAATCAGCCATTGAAAACACTGTGGAGCACAATTCTATTCTGATACCCATGGGGTTGCCATGAGTCCGAATAGACTCAATGGCAACTTTTTTTTTTTTGGATAGGTACTAAATTAGATTGAAAGAAAGTTTTTTCAGTTTAGGCTCATCAACACTTTTTAGTTTGTATAACATCAAAGAATGAAGACAGTAGTAGTTAGAGATAAAATTATGTCAGGGTGACTGTATTTCACTATTACAGGTTTTAAGTCTTTTTCTGATTGTGCCAAAAGGGAATAGTCATGGAATAAATTTTAACATGTTCTCGCCTACTTAAACCTCTAGTGGTTCTTCTGTGACCATGAAGTAATTCTCAGCCGTAACTACACATTGGCATTACCTAGAATTTGTGGCTGCCGGGGCTGAGAACCACTAGTCCATGGAAGAAGCTTCAGATTTGTCAGCTGGTGGAGCCCTGATGACACACTTGTTAAGCACTCAGCCGTTAAATGAAAAATTGACATTTTGAACCCACCAACCACTCCATGGGAGAAAGATG